GAAGTCCCTCGGCCCTTAAAGGGGACAGGTTGCCTACCCCTGGAATAGCCTATCTCCAGATAATCTGCCCTGTGCCCTCAGGTCCTCTGGGAGGAAGTTGCTTCAACCAATAAGAACTAGATTGGTGACAACCTCCCAGAGGACTTTCTCTGCCACCACCCCTAGATTGTGGAATGCTTTGCCGGAGGAGATCCGTCAGATAACCAATTTAGATGGCTTTAAAAAAGCCATCAAGACGGATCTCTTCCAGCCGGCATTCCCAGAATGACATTCTCACAATCTCTCCCCCGTGATTAGACCATTAGATCACTCCTTTATATATTCAGAGTGCTGGCTATCTAATTGTATTAGATTTGTAACTTTGTTTTAAGTTAAATTTTAATGTTGACAATGATTTAATATATTTTTAAGGGGGGGTAATATGTCTATTATAATTGTATGGGATTGTATTTTAAATTGTAAAGCTGCCTTGATAGCCTCAGCTAAAGGTGGGATATAAATAAATTATTATTATTATTATTATTATTATTATTATTATTATTATTATTATTATTATTAATATCAAGGTAGCACTGATGATGGGAAGAACATAATGTACTCTCTAGTCATAGATCTACCATCATCTGGGATAACTGACAAACATTTAGGCCTTTCTTTTTCTATCTTATGGCACTATCTTCTCTTTTGTTATTAAATGTAGCAAAACAGCTTTAAACCTTGTATGGCCCACTTTTTAATGCACCAACAGGGCAGAGGAAAGTGATCTAAATCCTGTTATTAGTCCCCATGTAGAGAAGAACCATTGACTCAATATGATTTAGTTATGTACTCGTCATTCAATAATTGATTAAATGGGTCTACTTTAATTAGCATTAGCCAATGAGTTTCAGGTCATAGGCTCTTAGTGATCCAGACTGGTAAGAGAGAGGAACTTCCATTGACTAATCTATGAAGGGCCAGGCTTTTTTCCTCCAGGTTGGTGGAATCTCATGCAACTAACCTAAGCCTCACCTTTTTATAAGAGTGATAAGTCACAAAACAGATGCAATCACCTTTACTTTGTTTTAACAGCCAAGCCATTAAGCAGAGAATGAGAGAGAGAGAGAAAGAGAGAGAGAGATAATATATGGCAGTTAGGATATGTTTCTGTAGGATCCTAATATTTAGAGCTTTCTACGAAATGCATGAGATGCTTTTAACATCAGCCACTTCAAAGAGCTCTTTCATGTACCACACATTTTCCTCCCCCTTACCCCTCAGTTTGCCTACATGCAATCAGAAGACAGATCTGGCAAAAAGGAGTTTCAGTGTTGCTAATAACTTGGGCAGCCCTTGGTCGACAAACCTCTTGATCCAGGAGGTATCTCTGCTGGGCACATGTCAAATATGGACTCCTCCTGAGGTCACACCAGTGCCTTAGCTCCGCTAAGGAAATGAAGTTTTCCAATCTCTCCACTGCTATAATGCAGTGCTTCCCAGGCTATCTGATACAGAGGACCAGGAATCCCACCCCCTCCCCATGCCAGGAACCAGCAATATATTTATGCCCATTGAGTAAAAATCATTATTTTTTTTCTATCCTGAAAACTTGCCTGTGGCTCAGCAACCAGTCCTGTTCCAGGGACCACCACTTTGAATAGTGCTGCTGTAAAGAATTTACTCAACCTTCTGATAGAATTGATGATGGGTATAGCCTACAGTAGGCACTTATGGGTCACCACCAGAGAAGTCTAAACAAGGATGCCAACTTGGAAAACATCTGCTTGTTCTAGAGGAACTGTTACCATGAGGTGCATGTGAATTTGCTTTTGATTTCATTGTCACTCCACCCAAAGTCAGTGTGGTGTAGTGGTTTAAATACTGAACTATAACTTTGGAGTCCAGGGTCTGAATCCCTGTTTGGCCATAGAAACCCACTGGGTGACCTTGGGTAAGTCACATTTTCTCAGCCTCAGAGGAAGGCAAAGGCAAAATTTCTGAACAAATCTTGCAAAAAACAAACCAACCATGATAGGTTCACCTTAGGGTTGCTGTAAGTTGGAAATGACTTGAAGGCACACAACAACAGCAACAACAATCCCAAAGCAGCTCTAAATTGAACAAAGGCTCTCCAATGTGGGACCCTATCTGATTGGTTTGGGATTGGCAGAGATCCCATACAACTTGGAGTAGCTGTAGGAGGAGCAACTGCAAAATGAAGAGTTTGGATTTGCCACCTCTGCGGTGGTAGATTCATCAGCTGTCCCTGTGCCCTATTTTACATGTATAGATAACAATGCAATTATCCTTATTTTAACCAACACCATGCACAAGAGAATACTTCCACTACTTTGCATGAACAACCCATGCCCTACTCCAAGTCACTTCCTGTACCAAGAGCTGTGAGTGTGGCACATGGGGATGTATGGTCTTCAAGTTCCTAGAACTTGATTTTGTCCTCTATTTCACCAGTACAATGGCATGCAGGATTGTAAAGTTAACTTCATATCTTTCCACCAAGAAAATATGGTTGCCATAACAACATTTTTGTTTATGAAGTATTTACAGTGGAAGTGGATTTTTCTTTGCTTTCCTTTTCTTATTCCCTGGTCACTGTAGATCAGGTTGCAAGCAGGAATTGATCCCGTAGGGACATGTATTGGCTTTTAGTGTCTGGCAACAACCAGGATGTTTTCCTTAAGAGCAACTGATCTCTTTGATTTTATGTGTCTTGCACATTTCTAAAATATATCAAACCCAAGAGAAGTAATAGAATCACAATGTGTGCAGGTCATGAATTGCTATGATCATATCCATTACCAAAGCCACCTGAAGTCTGGTGCAGACTCTTGAGCCAAAGGAAAGCTTTTTGCTGACCTGGTTACATGATAGGAACCTGGTTTTTTGTTTGTTTTTTAAAAAAAAAACTCTCCAAAGCTTGTCTGTGCTCCTCGTCTGTTTTGCTCAAATCCTTTCTCCCCATTTAATCATGAAGGAATGCTTCTCAAAAGATGTTGGGTCATAAGAGCTCAATAAATCAATCCAGATACACCCCTAATGAGTGGCAAATTAAACAGCATTTGTTTTAAGTTCAGATATCCTCCTGGGAGAATCCTTCTTAGTTGCAGGCAACATTTCTCAATTGCAGGTATTGGGAGGATGGGATCTAAGGAATGCCGAGCCTGTCCCACAAGTCTCTCAGATATGCCGCTCTTTTTCACTTAGCTGGGGCTACTAAAAGAAGATTCACATCTTCCATTTTACTGCTGTCCTGTTTTAGTGAGGAATGTGTACAGAGTGAGTTTAGCTTTATCATGGATTTTTGTGTGTGTGTGTGTATTCCATCACGCTTTGGATTCCACTCCCCACCAGAGCAATTTGTGCATATCTTGTGTTTATAGATTCATGAAATTACACAAAATTGTATCCATGAATGTTCATGGATAAAGGTCATAAATGTGAGCATTTACTCATGTGCATGTATTAACCTGGCTAACCATGAGGGTGGTCTGGGTGGGTGGGGGGAATCTGGAAACAGAATGCTCTGTCTTTCTCTCCCTCTTTTTGCCTCGTAAACCTTAGGCTCACCTTACATTATTTAGCAGATCTTTGTCACATGAACGTTATGAGTAATGGCTGGTAGAATTTTAATTGGGCCAGGAAAGAATCAAGGGTTGTTCTCTGAAATGTAAATGGTTGGCTATTGATGGTAGCAACAGTGCAATCTACTTATGCATTGTATTTTCATGAGAAAAACAACGGAAGATGTGCATTGCTGGATACAGGGCAAGCTGTACAGTTAGACAAAATAAGGCAACTGCCTCAAGTGGCACATGCTGAGAGACAACAAGAGCACCCCAGATATGTTTCATGAGAACTTGTTCAGTCCCCTTTATTAGTGAACACAGTTGTGTGAGTGTCACATGGCCTATTCTCACCCCTAAACTGACTTGCTACCTTCATGGCTGGTGGAAGCAGATGGTCTCAAGCTCTCCTACAAGCAGATGGGAGGTGAAGTGCTAAGGTCTAACATTGCACAGAGGCTGTCCCCCATGCTCCCACATGCAAACAGAGGTATAGCCATGTGCTCAACCCCATACATGCCAAAGGAAGGCACCTGACCACTCCCACCACCACAGAAGAAGGCAAATGATGGCTATAAGAGGGAAATGGCTCTAAGGCTATAAGAGGGAAATGGGGGAGAGGAGATGGAGGGACAGTGGATAACAGATGCTGCTCCAGCAGTTGTTTTGCTATCATCTGCTGGTATAGGAAAGCCTGAAGCAAGTCACACAGTTTTCCTGCCAGGCTTTATCTAGAAGCAGTAGTTTGCTGAATGCCTGGCTCTGAAGGGTGCTCAGAGCCATGGCAATAGGTGAAGGTGATAAGAAAAAAAACATTGGTCACCTCTCCTACAATACTGGAGCTCCAAGAACTCCTCAAAGAACTAGGCAACTGTATGTAAAGGAGGCCTCTGGCAGTGTGTGAGGGATCGGGGTGGGCACTGCTTCTACAAAGAGTCACATCTTCTTTAAAAGATAGCGCTGTGAAGTGTGTGTATGTGGGATATTTCCACTGCTTCTCCAGCTGCCTCAACCTATGATGAGGGTGATAATGTCTCCATCTCCCTCTCATAGTGGGGCTGGGCAGCTTTTTGGATACACCTCAACACTTAGGCAGGTCTCTGGAGTAGCATGGTGTTGGGTGAATTTGCCACATCTGGGGTGGCTGCTTCATTCTGTCTTATGGTCAGACCATTCTTAACAAAACACACAGTTCCATCATCAGTGCGGAAGTGAAATTTAACTATCAGTCCAGTTTGCTTCTGTATATGGAATGAGGCAGAGTACTGTTTTGTTCTTTGTCTCATGCAGCAAAAGTTATTGGGTTCCTTCTGGCTGGATAAGACCATGGTCTAGTCCAGGGGTGGAGACACTGCAGTGGATGGATCAGTTGTGGATCTTGGAGCCTCCACTAATCCCCAAAGCCCCCAACGGCACCAACTTTTAAGATGTTGCTGTGATTTGGGGGAAGGCTTTGCTCCCAAATCATGCAGAAATTCTTTCAAACATGTGAAAGGATATACAATACCCCTCTCACCCTCACAAGTATTTTAGAACACTGTATTAGCCCCAAATGACTCTGTTCTGCAGAGGAAAATGGATGTGCTGTGGGCAGTGTTGCCCAGGGTGGGGCTGGACAGTGTTGCCCAGGGTGGGGCTGGGCAGGGAAAATGGCTCCTGGGTCCCACATAGTTGGCCAACACTGCTCTAGTCAGACTGACACACTAGGCAAAGTGATACAGACACCTTCAGCAACAGACTGCCAGATGTGGCAAATTTGCTATTCCTAGGGTTGTCCCCCTTCAGTGCAAAAATTGGAGACTGAGGGCTGATGCAGATGGCCCATTTGGGGCGGCTCTCGACAGCCCCTGGGAGCGGTGGATTGGGGCCATGGCCCCGATCCTCCTTTTTGCCACCCTCAAAAGAGCATCAAAATGCCGCTCCTTTTAGGGGAGGCTAAAGGCCACCTTCAGAGCTGCAGCGGTGACTCTTTTGCGCTCTTTTGGTGCAACGTGTGCACACTGCACCAAAAAGGCATCCTGATACCGTGCACTGTGTGGATGAGTGTGTGGCATCAGGGCATCGTAGGGTTGGGGTGGCCAGCCTGCATCGGCCAGTCTGCATCGGCCCTGAGTTCTCTGACAAAATGCAGCCTGGAACAAAGGAGGAATCCAGGATCTGTTGCTTCAACTAGGCCAGCCAGCTGGCACATTTTTGAGTCCCTTCAATATGGGATTTTCCTGATTTTATAGGATTTATGGAAAGCCTACCTTCTCCCGATCTCTACCACTTAGCATGTGTCTCAAAAACTGAATATTTCCAGATGACAGGCTCTGAGATCTACACTGTGAGCAATTTCCATGATCAGCCCACCAACAATACCTGTTTCTGAGAGGTCCTCAGAGTCTAGCATTTGTAAAATAGCCAGCTTTGCAGAGAATGGTTTGCTTGGTGCTATTGTTCTCCACACAGCTTTTCTGCCTACTATCTCACTCTCAAAAGAGAGACAAAAGTGATGTTGATAACAGTTAGGGGGAGGCAGATGGGTGTAGCTCAGGGGTAGGCAACCTTTCCCCTTTAAGGGCCAAGGGACTTCAGCTCCCAGAAGCCTCAGCCATGTTGGCCAATAGTCCCATGTTGGCCAATAGCTCCTGGGATTCTGGGAGCTGAAGTCCCTCGGCCCTTAAAGGGGAAAGGTTGCCTACCCCTGGTGTAGCTGACTGTAGTAATCTGATTTGTTGTTGTTAACTGCCCTCAAGTTGACCTGGACTCATGGCGACCCTGTGAGTAAGAAACCTCCAAGACCCACTGTTCTCAACTGCTCTACTTAGGTCCTGCAAGCCCAGGGTGGTGGGTTCTTTGATTGAGTCTATCCATCTATATGTGGTCTTCCTTTCTTTCTGAGTCATTCCTTCTCATGATGTGTCTGAAATATGACAGTCTCAGTTTGGTCATCTTGGCTTCTAGCAAGAGTTGAGGCTTGATCTGGCCTAGGACCCACTTACTTGTCTTTTTGTCCATCCATGGTATGCTTAACACTCTTCTCCAGCACCACATCTCATATGAGTTGATTCTCCTTTTGTCAGCCTTCTTCATTGTCCAGCTCTCACATCCATACATGGCAACGGGGAACACAGTGGCTTGGACTATTCTAACTTTAATGGTTAGTTTTATTGTTTTGCACTTTAGAATCTTGTCTAGTTCCTTTATAGCTGGCCTTCCCGATGCTAGTCTTCCTCTGATTTCTTGATTGCAATCTCTGTTCTGATCAATGATTGATCCAAGGTAGGGGAATTCTTTTTCTGTTTCTATTTCTTCATCATCGAAATTAAATTTATGTAACCTGATAGGTGGCAGCAACTGC